ATGAGCCCTGTAATCCCCCTTGGGCCTGAGGGTCGGGGCCAAAAAGGGTCGAATTGACCAAAATTTCAAAAATCTTCTTCTCAAGACCCAGATATGGTAGAATCAAATACTCTTCATAGATGGAAGGGTCTTAAGGTGCTTTACCGAAATTGTGAATTTCTTGACCCTGGGGTCTCACGTTTCCCCCTGGGGAGGGGGTAAACTTTACTATAGTTTATATAGGGAAATCACATTTTGGACCAACATTTGTTTAATTTCCATTGGAAGTAATTCAATTTGGGTTAGCATTATCAGTATTAGGTAGCAGTTTGATAATAAGCACATATCAGCCCTGACTGACCCCCAGGGGCTGATGGGTGGGGCCAAAAAGGGTCGAATTTACTGAAATTTCAAAAATCTTCTTCTCAAGACCCAGATATGGTAGAATCAAATACTCTTCATAGATGGAAGGGTCTTAAGGTTTATGACCCTAGGGTCTCACGTTTACCCCCTGGGGAAGGGGGGGGGGGGGCAAAATTTATTATGGTTTATAATGGCAAATGATACTTTGAATATTACATGTTAATAACTTGATTGGAATTATAACCTTGAATTGACAGTTTGATACTTTGAAAATTTTGAGCCAGCCCTACCCCCAAGGGCTGTAGGGTGGGGCTCAAAGGAGTCAGTGTGCTAAAATTTCTTCATTTTCCTTGTTTAGAATCAGAGGTGCTAGTTTCAAATCCTTTTTAGTCTGAAATCTGTATGCTAGATATTGAATAAGGTGGTTTTATTGTTTTTTGTCACTTTGAATAATATTTCTGTTCATGTTAAAAACAAAATCAACTCTCTGTATAAATATATCAGGTGACCGTTAAGGCCCATGGGCCTCTTGTTTAAAATAGCAAGAGGTCAGATTCGTGATATTTGACCTGTAGCATGCTTGGACGAAAGGCTATCAATTTGATTAAAATGAATAACCTTGACCTACTTATAAGGTTACTGGGTCAAATGTGTTAAATACTTTAAATAATCATAAACTGAGGATGAGGATATCAAGTCTGCAAAGCCTATCTTTTTTTCTTCAAATAAATGGCATTGACCAACTTTCATGGTAACAGAAGTCAAATGTGGTAAAATATTTAAAAGACTACTTCTGCGTAACCCAGAGAACCAAGATTATATGATTTGGACTGTTGCAAACTATAATGAAGTGCCATCATATGTTTGGCTCAATTACAAGGTCAATGGGATTTTAGACATGTGGCATCTTTGTATGAAAGTTTCATAAAACATGTTCAGATAACCTTGAGTCATTTTCAATGTCACAGGAGTCAAATTTGTTAAAACATTTTAACAACTTCTGAATAACTAAGAGGCCAAGGGAAATAATACTTAGCACGTACATTGGGCATGTTTTGTGTTGAAATGAAAACATTTGCAATTTTACCCACTTTAAAGTACATGTTTTTTGTGTTGAAAAGAATAAATTGGCAATTGATCCACTTTTAGAGTAACAAAAGAAGAATGCATAAGAAACTTCAAAACCTGTAGTTTTAGAATTAGCTTAAGTTTTAAGTGGAGACAGGGAAGGGGTCAGGGGTTGTCACTCAAATTTTGAAATTATGTATTTTATGTGATGTACTGGTATGACTTCAAAATATCTAAAAGTATTTGAACTACACAACATGAAACAATGACATTAATATATATGTATACACTATAGGCAAATCTGTATTAAGAAATCTCCAAAGACAAGGCTCAAAAGTGGTTTCTTAAGAGTATTAATACATGGTATACTGCTTTGTGAGGATAAGGATAAGGTGAAAGAAAGAGGATCATACTTAACAGGACCATTACAAAAAAATATATTTGCATGTATATATATATATATTGTATAATATAAAGTGTAAAAGAAAAACCAATATACTGTATATTGCCATGTGGAAATATGTGAAGTTAAATCCTAGTGAATTAATAAATATTGTAATACTTACAAATACAGTGATAATGAAATATTACATATATCTAATTGGTCATGAAATACTAGGGCAGATGTTAACTGCCTTTTTTGTCTTTATGGTTTATTTTTACAGCCAAATTCTTTCACATCCACAAAATTCTGGCCTATGTACATATAATATATAATGCTTTCATTAGAGTGATATAATTATACATACATGTGGACAAATAATGCATTGGGACTAAGCTTTCCCCGTATTTCCGGTAGCAATGTACACTGTACCTATTTTTACTTAAGTTACAAGGTTTTCATACATCATAAAGTAACAGCTAGGGTATATGTATATATGAGGGGAAATACTGCCTTACTGAAAAGCTAGCTTTTCCAGTAATGTGGTATAACCAGGGGACCCACTCACTAGTTCAGCAACGTTAAGCGTGGTCAGTAGCTTGTAGATCTTTTATAAGATGATATTTAATTCAAATTTTTTGAGAATCAGTACATGAGAGATATAAAGAAAATTTGAAAACAAAGTCAATGGTTGAGCAAATATTAGAGATGTCTTCAGTCTTTATTAGGACATTTATAGTATGAAAAAAAAAATGTCAACAATGAAGGCTACAAAGCAGGTAGATAGGCAATTATTGACCTATTTTTTAGCTATATATATTAAAAATTATGCATAGCAGTGTAACAAGGAAAGAAATATAGTGTCCTATCACTGGAGATTGAAGTAGCGATCCAGAGTTTCCCAGTCTGTTGCTCTACTGATTGAGCTTAAGGAAATGTATCCTTACAGCATAATGTTAGAATGATCATATGTACAAATAAAACAAGACACAGTGGTAGCTATTAGAAACATTTTGAAATTTTCAAGAATAAATAAAAAAATGTTGTGTGTTCAGCATTGGTCAAATTTTAAATCGAGTGGACATGCAGGCAGATCAATCATCCGGACAAATATTAAAATATTTCCAGTAAAAGAAATTGTGTTTTCTATATTTTTTATTTCTTAATAGGTGAATGGACAATCTATAGAAGACTATTTTTGTGTTCAGTAAAACCTGGCTAATCTGACATTCTGTGTGACAATAAAGAACACACAGGTCTTTTTTGAAAATTATAAATAGTGTAACAGGAGGAAGAGAAATGTAATGGCCAGACCAGGATTCAAACCTGGGACCCTCTGAACTCTAGACGATAGACTCAGTCCAGTTCCGCTACATTTCTCCCTCCTTTAACAAAGTTGTCGAACCCAAAGACACACGAAAACTTACACCACCTGCTATGGGTATATCTTGTTGGGTGCCAAATTTGTAATAGGAGAAAGAGAAATGCAATGGCTGGATCGGGGTTTGAACCCGGAACCCTCCGAACTCTAGACGTAAGCTCTAACTAATTGAGCTGCCTGGTCGCCAACGATCGACCCAGTCTAGTTCTGCTTCAGTAGGACTACAAAATAATGTTGGATTAGGCAGGATGCTGGTATGTTAAGGGGTCAGCTTAGACAGGCATCACTACATTTTGATCATTTTCTGTATGCTAATTAATTCAAACTTCTATGACCAAAGCTGCTCTCTCTGTACAGTACAGCTTAACAATAATATCACACCTACCTGGTGTTGGTGTGGCCGGTGGTGCACAGGGATACTCCATTCCACAGTCCTTCATCGTACCGGAATGTTTCTCAGATAAATACACCTTTGTAACTTTTGCAATTTCATTTGCAGACGTCTGATAATAAGTCACACGATTTTCATTGTGAAGATACGACTTTGAGGTATTAAGTAAATCACTACCAGGAGACATTTGTATACCTGGTTCTTGACTTGAATTTTGTTGTACTAAACTATTCATTGTCATTTGAGGCAATTTATTTTGAGAACTTGGAGAATCTATTCCTCCTCCTCTTGATCCTCCAGATGATTTGCTGAAAGGCTTTAAAGCATCAATATGAACAACTTTTGGTCTCAAAATTTCTGACATAGCACCAGACCTATGAGAATGTTTTTGTGATGAGGCAATAACCTGTTCATGTTTCATTAATGTGATAGGTTTACACTGAGTTTGTAGCACACTTGTTAGATTTGATAATTCACCAACAGAGGCTTTGTTGCTTGTCTCCTTTTCTGACTTCACTTTTGTTGCCGGAGGTATTTTTATTTTACTTTGCTGGTAAAGCCTATTGCTTGCCTGTAATTTAGTTTTCATCTTGGTGCTCAGCGAAGATTTGGATCTCTTTTTGTTCTTTTTACCTGCACATACAACAAATATAAAAATTAAAGTAAATTATTTATATTCCACTTATAAATATATGAATGCAAGCATTTTAATTTGATATAATGATTATTTTACTGTTAAACTGAAATGATATAATTCACTACACACTTTTCAGTGAATCAAATTCATGGACATATGCATTTCTTATCCTCCTTTGGAAAAAAGTTATGTATACAAACCTTTCTTTGTTGATGATTTATTTGGGACACTATGAACCAGGTCAGGTTGCTGCATGTAAGGATTTCCTGTTAAAGGCAGTGTGTCTCCCACCTCATCTTTTTCTTCCATTTTATCCCCGTTGTCTTCATCCCCGTTGTCTTCATCTGAATTGCCTGAAGGACAAGCATGATTGTCTGTCTCCTCAATCAAACCTATGTTACTCCTAGTTGATGTGGATGTTTTACATCTTGCCAAATCGGTGAGTTCATGATCAGTTTGCTTGTTTTCTTTGTATGCATTTTCTCGAAATACACATTGCCGTGATGATGGTCTGCGGTTAGCATCTGATGTTAACAGCGAGTGAATATCAGCCACATCTAATGCACGACTGTCCTGAATCTGTGACAGTGATTGTTTTACAGTGAACGTACCATTTCTTGTAGGAGATTTGTCCGGATAAATAAATGACTGTGAATGACTCTGTGCTGCTTTATATTCGGGATGATGACCAGTAATTGTCCCATTATGGTGCGATTCCTGTACGACTATAGTTTCGTTGAGGTCAAATAGACGGTTTCTTCCGGAAATAGTAGAATAAGCTGATGTTGGTTTGCTATTAGGGCTAGTATGTGTTAATCTAATAACAGCGGGAGCATTGCCGTCCATGTACATAGGGACACGCCCCCCTAGAGCGCTCCCAACGGCATCTGAATCATTTCCTGGGGATGCTGAAACATTCTTTAGATATGTAAAATCGTGAAAAATTCCCTTCGTTAGAACTGATTGTGCAGTCATTCTTCATCCTTTGGCTGACTCTCACAAACAGAACCTACTACAAATCCCTCAGTTAGACTCCTGTCTTAGCTGACACCCCTATCTCACCGAAAGGGGCTTGCCAAAGTTATTTACACCGCCATTTCGCATCACATTTACCATAGCAACCGAACAGTCATCATTCGGAATACCCCGGAATGTTTCATTGAATTGCATTACGCTACAAGCGCATGCCCACTTAACAGGATATGTACACGTTCAACTTCCGGTAGAAATGCACATGGTGTCGAGAAAGACAACAATCTTGAAATGAGACCACTTACAGATGAAGAGACGAAAATCTTTTTCGAAAAACTTTCTAAATAGTAAGTTCTTTTAAACATAAGATTGAAATATGTATTCCACCTGGCATTTACCTTAGCTGTTGTAATAAATATGGTAGATTATCCCACTTGTTACTCGCTTTTGGGAATGTTGATGCTTACTCATCACTGCTCATTGGTACAACCACGGACTTACAGCTGGCGCTTGCCTCATATTTGTGTATTGGGAGAAAAGCGATTGGCTGTGGTTGTTGAAGATTTCAATAAAAACTTAAGCATGGTGAAAGGATTGGCCTCGGTTTATAAAGTCTCCATTGATAATCTTTTTGTATTTCTACAGGTCGGGGAAAACCACTAACTTGCGTATAATACGCAAACTTGCCTATGTTTGGGTATGGATTTGTTACTAAAAATAGCCAAAATCACTTGAATCATAACTTTTTCAAATTGATTGTCCAAGTCGCATTTATTTAGTCATGAAACATAATACAAATGCAAAAATAAACTGTATTTGCATGGAAAGTACCAAAAATAGATGCAATATTTCTGGTAAAGTTACATCAAGTTTCTAAGTAACCAACGCTTTCAGTAAACATCTTTTAGCAAAATATTATTTACCTTGTCTTAAATTAATGCGATTTTTAATAAAATCTTGCAAAAGTTACAGTTAAAGCGATTTGGGCTATTTTTAGTAACAAATCTATACTCAAACTGGCGTATAATAGGCGAGTTTGCGTATTATACGCAAGTTGTGGTTTTCCCCAACCTGTTCTATCTATCCGTCTATATGTTATACTCCAAAGAGACCAAAATGGCCTTAATGCGGAGGGGGTTAAATACGCATGCAATACTTAGCTTCGGTTAATCACAGTTGGAAGAGTATTCCTTGTGCCCCGACTGTGATGTGGTCCAGGTGGTTCCAATCTGTGGCTGTTCGCACAAATAGTCCTGGAATTTAAGCTGTCATGTTTTCCTTTTTTTCATGCTGGAAATTAATAAAGTTTTTGCTAGGCACTGATGGAATTTGCTCCTCTACAATTTTATAATAGAATGCTAGTCTCTGTTGTTTTCGTCTTGATGCTAGTGGTGGAAGTTGTAGCTCCTTGAGTAGTTTGTCATGAATCCCTCTTCCCTTGTTCTGTGGTCCTTCTGGATGAAACGCGCCCCTCTCCGTTGGATGCTTTCCAATTTGTTAATGCTTGTCTTTATGGACGGTTCCCAGATTATTGCTCCGTATTCCAAGATGGATCTGACAAGAGCAATGTATGCTGTCTTTCTACATTCTCTGGGACAGTGTTGTAGATTGTGTCTTAGGAAGCCTAAGTGAAGGTAAAACTGGCCTTTTTTGTAGTACTTGCTACAGTATATATTCTTTCCACTTCATATCCCCTAATAGTTGTAAACCTAGATATGGGTTTGTCTGTACATTATCTAAACTGTGTCTATTAAGCTGGTATGTGTATTGCCTTTTCTTCTTAATGCAAAGAATGTAACATTTTTTTGCATTAAATTCATCCCCATGTTTGCAGCCCAAGTTTTGAGTTGTTTCAAGGTCGTCTTGAAGTGTTTCGTGGTCCTTGTTTGAGATTATTTCTCGATTGGGCAGGCAGTCATCTTGGAAAAGTCTAACTGTTTGTTTTAACAAATTTTATTATATATATATATTAAGTTATTAACATATATAAATGGATAAGATAACAGGCTAGGCCTATATCACAGAGGCATGAGTTTCACAGAGTCTGGTAAGTCATTTATATTGCAAAGGAAGAGTAGGGGTCCTAGTACTGTTCCTTGTGGTACTCCTGACTCAACAGTTGCCTCTTCAGAGGCTATCCGCATCTTCCTGCGAGTTAGGAAGGTTTTTAGCCATTGATGCAGAGGTCCTCTGATCCCATATGACTCCAGCTTGTGTAGTAGTCTGTCATGAGGAATTTATTGAGAAAACAAGGGGAACCTTCATTCCAATTTGAGAAAGTAGTAAGCACTGTTTAAGGATGGACAAAGGGTGATTTGAATAGCGGACCATCAGATGATGGTGGGCTAAAAAGTGGGTCTAAAAATTAGGATGTAGAAGCATATTTGCAAACTATCCCTATTTTGGAGGGAGACTCAATTTTTGACCCTAACATTTAGCATTTTTAACCAGTGAATTTGCTTAACTATTCCTATTTTCTTAGAATAGATCTGATGATTTCATCTGAAAGACCAGCTGAAAAGATGCTGATTAAAAGTGTTATTTTTCCCAATGGTTTACATACAAATGTCCACACATTTTATTCATATTTTTAAATCTGAACACACATAATCTTCTCCGTGGAAAATTTGAAAAGTTGGCAAGTATGTAGAAGCCCTACATTGATTCATGTATAAACAGTATAGAATAATGTTAGCCATCTTGAAATAAACAGCCTCTTGACATTTTATGCTTCACTTTGATGGAGAATGGCGTTAAAAAGAACACTTCATATGTTGCTAGTACAGGAAGCTTAATGTCAATTTATTAAGTCAACACAAGTCAACACTCATCCAGGTTCTTGTATTTGTATTAACTCATTACATGAAGGTTGTATTTATAAAATAATTTCTGTTTCAGCATCGGTGAAAACATCAAGCTCTTACTAGATCGACCTGATGGATCCTACTGTTTTAGATTACACAGAGATAGAGTCTTCTATGTCAGGTAATTATTACTGTACAGTGTAAACTGTCTATGTCAGGTAAGTATTACTGTACAGAGCGAGTAAACTGTCTATGTCAGGTAGGTATTACTGTACTGTGTAAACTGTCTATGTCAGGTAATTATTACTGTACAGTGTAAACTTTCTATGTCAGGTAGGTATTACTGTACAGTGGAAACTGTCTATGTCAGGTAGGTATTACAGAGTAAACTGTCTATGTCAGGTAAGTATTACTGTACAGTGTAAACTGTCTAAGCCAGGTAGGTATTACTGTACAGTGTAAACAGTCTATGTCAGGTTAGTATTACTGTACAGTGTAAGCTGTCGATGTCAGGTTAGTATTACTGTACAGTGTAAACTATCTATGTCAGGTAATTATTACTGTACAGTTTACACTGTACAGTAATAATTAACTGACATAGACAGTTTACACAGTACAGTAATACCTCCCTGACATAGACAGTTTCCACTGTACAGTAATACCTACCTGACATAGAAAGTTTACACTGTACAGTAATAATTACCTGACATAGACAGTTTACACAGTACAGTAATCCCTACCTGACATAGACAGTTTACACTGGACAGGAATACCTACCTGACAGACAGTTTACACTATACAGTAATACCTACCTGACAGACAGTTTATACTGTACAGTCATACCTACCTGACATAGACAGTTTACACCGTACAGTAATACCTACCTGACAGACAGGTTACACTGTACAGTAATACCTACCTGACAGAGACAGTTTACACTGTACAGTAATACCTCCCTGACATAGACAGTTTCCACTGTACAGTAATACCTACCTGACATAGACAGTGTACACTGTACAGTAATACCTACCTGACACAGACAGGTAGGTATTACTGTACTGTGTAAACTGTCTATGTCAGGTAATTATTTCTGTACAGTGTAAACTGTCTATGTCAGGTTAGGATTACTGTACAGTGTAAACTGTCTGTCAGGGAGGGATTACTGTACAGTGTAAACTGTCTATGTCAAGTTAGTATTACTGTACAGTGTAAACTGTTTATGTCAGGTTAGTATTACTGTACAGTGTAAACTGTCTATGTCAGGCAGGTATTACAGAGTAAACTGTCTATGTCAGGTACGTATTACTGTACAGTGTAAACTGTCTGTCAGGAAGGTATTACTGTACAGAGTAAACTGTCTGTGTCAGGTAATTATTCCTGTACAGTGTAAACTGTCTATGTCAGGTTAGTATTACTGTACAGTGTAAACTGTCTGTGTCAGGTAAGTATTACTGTACAGTGTAAACTGTCTGTGTCAGGTAGGTATTACTGTACAGAGTAAACTGTCTGTGTCAGGTAATTATTACTGTACAGTGTAAACTGTCTATGTCAGGTAATTATTACTGTATATGGTAAACTGTTAATATAAAACAGAGAGATGATGCGATATTCATAAACAAGTTTTGTGTAAAGAGACGACAGAGTTTCAATCATCGTAGAATATACAAATTGGTTTTAAATTGTTATTTTAAAATCACACAAATATTGATAATTTGGAAAACCATTTAGTTTGACCTATTTTCATTTACATAATAACACAATGCTGCTGCATCTGATTATTTCGAAAAATAGGGGAAAATATATATATATGCTAAACAAAGCATTACTAAAATGTGGTGACAAACTATACGGTAAGGCTGATATTTATTAGATGCTGAGTAATATATTCCAGCATAATATGAATACACTATTCTACCACATCAAATGTAACAATTCCATTTTTGGTTGAATTTTAAGGCAGACCGTAATGTAATAGCTGGTGGAGGAATGATTACTTAGTTGTGACCGTAAAAAATAATTCAGGAAATACAATTTATGGTCACTGAAGTTCATTCACTTTTATAATGATAATCATTACAGATCAGACTAAAAAAACATGTAGAAAATGAAGTGACAAGATAAAGATGAAATGAAAATGTTTCTTTTTCCTATTTTTACAGAGAAGACATGATGAAACATGCTGGAAATGTTTCAAGGAAAAATCTCATCAGTTTTGGATCATGCTTTGGACGATTCTCAAAAGGTGGTAAATTCAAATTGCACATTACTGCTCTGGATTTCCTGGCTCCCTACGCTAAGGTATGTTGTTAATCAGTAGCCAATTTGTCTTGTGTATATGTATATATGCTTTTGGTTCATTGAAAATTTAGTGCAATCATTTGTGAACTCCATTGCAGTATTGCCTGATCAATGACTTTATTTCAACAGTTCTTAAAAATGTACTACCTATAGCTGGTGGTGAGACTCTTCTTTAAGTAAAAAATAAGTCATATTTAACACAAAATTGTACATTAAACAGAGTGTTTGAAGTATTTTGTTGTATTGCATATAAACTTGTTCATAATAGATTTTATAATCCTGATTTTAGAAAACTAAACTGCCAGAATTGTGTGAATGTTTAGTTTAAAGAATGGGTTTATTTTATAATCATAGCTAATATGCATCATATAAATGAAATTCGGTGTCGGTGATTAAAGTGAAGTAGAATCTTGAGTCCTGTGGCTAGACTTGTCTTTTTTGGCATGGACTCAACTGATTGTGATGAAATAAAGTTATAAATTTTCCAAATTTTTGTCTTAGACTTAACTAAAAAATCATTGCTATAACTATCTGTATTAAATCTTTACCAAAATGTACTTGTAATCAAGTTAGGAGCTTATCTAAACTATCCAAATCTATTTGGAAGTTTGGAATTCATATGTTCCACGTGTACATGTGAAACCATATCATTGTATCCTATCAAGATTTCTCCTTTTTGCAGTTCAAGGTTTGGGTGAAGCCAAGTGCTGAGCAGCAGTTTGTTTATGGTCATCATGTGATGAAGTCTGGCCTGGGACGAATTACAGAAAACACGCCACAGTACCAAGGTGTTGTTGTATACAACATGAATGATCTGCCATTGGTAAGATTTTAAAAGTGACATACCACAGTGACGGTTCTAAGGTGTTGTTAAATACAACATGAGCCGCTTACCGATAGTAAGATTTTAAAAGTGACACACCACAGTGACAGTACTAAGGTGGTGTTGTATACAGCTTGAATGATCTGTCACTGGTTAGATTTTAAAAGTGACAGTACCAAGGTGATGTTGTATACAACATGACAGATTACCACTGTCACTGAATAGTTGTATACAACATGACAGATTACCACTGTCACTGAATAGTTTTATTTAGCAGGAGGTATGTACATTTATTCAATTCATTTGATCATTGCAATGTAAAAGCTAAGCTTTAACCAAGACTGTTTCACTGCCCTCATACCATAGCTTGGTCACTGGTGACGTTAAGAGCATTTGGAATTATCTCCCCTTTTTCAAAGCAGTGGTTGTAAACCAGGCTGAGTCGGTACACTTCCTAGTTTATGTCAATAATGGGCCCCTGTTTTCTGAAATGGATGGCTTCGTTTTCTTGTCCTACTCGGTGATTCTTTTTCTCTGCCAAAGATCTTTAGCCTGCGCCCAGTCTACCACAGAATTCTCTTTATTAATAATTAATGTTGTAGCCCTCTTGTGTATTTCCCTTTCTGACCTGTTGTTGCTTAGGGCCTCTGTCTCCTTTCAATCTCGTTCAGATTTTTTTCCCAGTTTCCTGTATGTACACAGAATTCCTGTATGTACACAGAATCACAGTTCTTCTTACCGCCGATATTGTACACATGTGTCCCTGATGGAATATTTGACTTTGTCTTTAGATTTACAAGAATGTTCCTGGAATGTTCCTGATTGTCAAAAGTGGTATCCTGTTGATCAAGATCCTGTGCTTTCTGAATATCCTCTGAATGGTCTCTGATATTCCTTTTGTATATGATAACACTGTTTTGTCCCTGGTCTCTTCCTGTCTGTTGATTCTTCTTTTTCAGTTTCACAGCTGGTTTGTTCTTGATCATATCATTCACTGTCTTGTATTCCACTTTGGATATCCGAATTTTTTGAGTGCTGCTCCTCCCTGAACTTATCCTCTGGTTCTGTTATTGCCATGTGAACACTTGTAGTGACCAAGGGGAAGTAACTCCCAATGCTCTAAAGATTTAGATAGTAAGATTTTTACTTTAATTTGCAATGTTCTCCCATTGGGAATATAAGTACAGGTATGGTTTGAATTTGTTTTCTAGGGCTTTGGAGTGGCAGCAAAGTCAACACAAGAATGCCGACACACAGATCCTATGACGCTCGTCGCATTTCATCAAGCAGATATTGGAGAGTTCATCAGGAATGAGGATGCTTTAGTATAGTGACAACAGGGTGGGGATGGGTAGGGTTTTAGCACAGGGAATTCACATTTTATTATAAACTGTTTAATTAATGAAGTCATCACAACCTTTGTCTTACATTTCCAAAAATCAAGGAATTAATGAATGTTCCAAAATTGTTATACTTCATTATTCAAGGGAGTAATATTCCACTAACCCTGACACCCAGGGCTAGTAGATCTAATGTCTGGCTAGTGAAAATATGCAATATTTACTGAAAAAAATATAGACATGCACTTGTAGATTTTTTTCAAAATCTGCCTTGGAGCGAGTACTTTGAACATATGTTGGACGCTCCTGGTAGTACAGTTGCATATGTTCATATCCATTTTGATGTGATTTGATGAATTGTCATTAAAATTATTCTTAACATGTCAAAAAAAGTGTGTTGACATCTTTTTATTCCCTTCAAGAATGTTGAAATACATGCAGCTCACTAAGTCATGGCACAGCATCCAATGTCTAACTTTTCAGTTCATATTAAACCTCCTTACAAACATTTTTTTTCCTTATCGACATTGGCCAGTGCATCAATTTGGACTTTGGATCTATGCCTACAACATTGTACATAAGGCAAAAAAAAAAAAAAACTCTGTTTTCGGGCTTGTTTTTTTCATTGTTTTTTCATTGCAAAAATGAGACGAGTGCGATTTTTTTTTTATTGTGTAGTTTGTAAAACGTTCAATGTGGGCATTACCTTGTCTTTTTATGGTTGTGTGGAGACCCATCATAGCGCAAGCCTTCGAAAAATCCCCCCACAATGTTCCAGACGAGAATCACGAACCCCCCAATTCCTTATTTGTACCGAAATGAGTGCCATTTGCACACAAGACTAATAAGTTATAATAATTTTAATGCTTGCCTGTATATCAATTTCCTTATCTTTATTCAAACGTTTTCGGGACTTGGGAGACCAATTTTCCAGATTTTTTATAAAGCTACTTTCACGATAAAATGCGGTGCCCTAAAATGAAATGTGCGTGGGCCTGAGACATGAGTAATCAATTTGTTTTGGTCCAATCTAATTAAAATTATATCTTCACATCGCTCCTGTTTACTGATATGTCGCGTTGAAGATCTAACAACATCCCATAGAGGGTCACGTCAGAGGTCAACATGAATGCATTATCGCATTTATAACAAGCCAATCAAAAAGCGACATAACTCTTTCATTCAACCAATCAGAAAGCATGACCTGTAGCATTTAATGCAGACACCTCGTAGCCCAAAATTAGATAGGTTTTGGTCTTATGTTGTCACATATTACTTGCTATTATGATGAAATTAACTTTAATGTTATTGACCTTGATATTTGACCAACAAGAGGCCCAATGGGCCTGCATCGCTCACCTGTTATTAAACTAACACTTGTAATCATAAGATTTCATAAGAACCTATTAAAAGATTTAAACATGTGACGCCTCTGACCTTGATTGTTGAACAAGGACATTAGGTTGAAAGTGGATCAAGGTCATTCATTTGAACTAACATGGTAGTCCTTCATCCCAGCATGCTACAGGCCCAATTTCAGTACCCAGGGCCATTTGCTTATTGAAAAGAAGTCGCTTGAAGATTTAAAGACATTTGACCCTGTGACCTTGAAAGTTGGTCAAGGTCATTCATTTGAACAAACTTGGTAGTCCTTCATCCCAGCATGCTACAGGCCTAATATCAGTACCCTGGACCTTTTGGTTATTGAGAACAAGTTGTTTGAAGATTTTAAAGACATCTGACCCCAATGACCTTGAAAGTTGGACAAGGTCATTCATTTTAACCAACTTGGTAGCCTTTGATCCCAGCATGCTACTGGCCCAATATCAGTACACTGGGCCTTTTGGTTATTGAGAAGAAGTTGTTTGAAGATGTAAGACATCTGACCCCTATGACCTTGAAAGTGGGTTAAGGTTATTCATTGAACAAACTTGGTAGCCCTTCATCCCAGTATGCGACAGGCCCAATATCAGTACCCTGGGCATTTTGGTTATTGAGAAGAAGATGTTTGAAGATGTAAGACATCTGACCCCTCTGACCTTGAAAGAGGGTTAAGGTTATTCATTGACCAAACTTGGTAGCCCTTCAACCCAGCATGCTACAGGCCTAATATCAGTACCCTGGGCCTTTTGGTTATTGAGAACAAGTTGTTTGAAGATTTTATAGACATCTGACACCAGTGACCTTGAAAGGGGGCCAAGGTCATTCATTTGAACTAACATGGTAGTCCTTCATCCCAGCATGCTACTGGCCAAATATCATCTTCCTAGGACTTTTGGTTATTGAGAACAAGTTGTTTGAAGATTTTAACATATTTGACCCCTTTGACCTTGAAAGTGGGTTAAGGTTATTGATTGAACAAACTTGGTAACCCTTCATCCCAGTATGCGACAGGCCCAATATCAGTACCCCGGGCCATTTGGTTATTGAGAAGAAGTTGTTTGAAGATTTTAAAGCCATCTGACACCAGTGACCTTGAAAGTGGGCCAAGGTCATTCATTTGAACTAACATGGTAGTCCTTCATCCCAGCATGCTACAGGCCCAATATCAGTACCCCGGGCCATTTGGTTATTGAGAAGAAGTTGTTTAAAGCAAAAAGTTGACGCCGGACAGACGGACGACGCATCATAACATAAGCTCACTTGCCCTTCGGGCAGGTGAGCTAATAAAAAAATTGGGCACTTGATATTAATCCCAACGATACCACTTCATAAGGATGTTAATACACTTGTTGTTGCAGAGAAACCTTGTTTCTCCATGATAAATTATTTTTCACAAGGATGATTTTATACAATGGACAAAATTTTACAAAAAGATTCGCAAGTGAGGCTCTGGCAACCTTAATATGAAGATTGAAAGGCAAACCACACACAGCGACGGACAAAGGATGATGTCGTAGTTCACATTAATCTCGGTCTCCGGTCAGTTTAAAATACAAAAGACAATTGTTTCCATTAATAATGTCAATTTTAATTGTCAGATAACCAGACTTTTTTCTATACATTTTTGTAGGAGTACAATGTTCACAATGCTTCACGTTCTTGGTGTATTCTTATTTCTTTCAAATGGAAAAGAGAGGAAAACAACGCTAGTACTTAGATTCCTTCGGCTGCCATGAAAAATAATTTAAACGCCAGCTTCCAAGAAATCTTATTTTTCTTAAGCATTTGAAAGTCAATCACGGTAAAAGATAAAGGATTACTGGAGACAAATTGGAAAATATTTACCCAAACGTCACTAAAAACTTGGAACCAAACAATGACTTGGCAGAAATATTTAACAGAAAAAGAGGTGCAAGTGCATCTAACAGAAACATGAACTGTTTCTTAAAGCAAAAGATTGAGAAAGAAAAATTCAGAAACACTGGACAAGTTTGGCACAATTAAAATTAACTTTCCATTGAACATAAATAAGCAAGTTGTCAAATCATGAACAAGCTGATATTGATTTTGAGATACATGCTATGTGTGCATGTTTTCCCTGGGAGAGTTTGTCAGAACTCTCTTCCAAGTCTTTATTTCTGCATCATCTGTTGTATACAAAGACGAAACGGTATTGCAGTAACATTAAATTAAAGTTACAATTCAGCAACTGACAGAGAAAAGTATATACAATATGTCGCTTTCTAAATACACATAATAATATTATCTAACCATGAAATATATACAATAGACTCCAAGCTAAGTGAACAATATATGTATGTATATAATACCGTTTTGGGAACAAAATGAAGATGACCAAATAAGTGATGGATAATTGGACCAAGCCAATTTTTTAAAAGTTTTACTGCGTTTTGTTTACTCATTTCTTGCACACCAAAACAAGGATCATTATTTGGTGAACGATTTTGTCCAATGTAGCAGATCTATAAAGAAAGCACTTAACACAATAGTACAGTGTATATTGGGCAGTAGAAATAAATTTCCTAAACTTTTAAGCAACAACAGAAAGAATATTCTGTGTATGTTCCAAGTAGACTTCAGTCCTGTTCAGGTGCAGACCAAACCACTGTTCTTTCATGTTATAACAATTTACAGGTAACAATTCTAGAGTCTTTCACAATCCAAAATTAACTTTTCAAAGTATATGACATTATCCAAATGTTGAAATTAAGAGTGAAAGAGTGGTAATTTCAACAGAAGGTGAAAGTTTTCAGAAAGAAAAATAAATCTAATTTTAACCTCTAGTAGAATACTATTATAAGTCTATACAAATGAAGTGTGTACAAATACAATGATATATTTACAAAGGCATATAATTATACAGCTTTTAGTCCTACATATGTACTTATATTGGGGTGTTTTTTGACAAATTCTTTGATATTTCAGAATATTCAGATTTAAAACTCATGTCCAAAATTCCATTTTGTATTTAACAACTCGCAATATTTTGTGATACATATATCTCATACTTACTTTTTACAGATCACTTAACAATTTTATAACATGGCATAATTATATGCTTGATATTTATTTTTGAATAAGTGTACTACTAAAATAATTAATATAAACACACAGAATTTCTCTAGCTGTATCATATGCACAATTTGTTATTTCTAAATGAAAGTATTGTTTAACATAAGTTTAGCACTTACTGGTATTATTAATTCAAACGGGTTATTTTTTTTAAATTATTGCACCCAAAGCCTGTTAATAAAACAATAACTGCGGCAGAGAAATGTCAGAAAACACCAAACAAAGATAGATAGGTATATACATGTATATTTTCTTTTTCTTCTTCTAATTATGATACATGAACTTTCATGTTCCCTCTATGTTTACGGTCAAAAGTATTCATAAAAAATATGTAAAATATTGTTTTCTCCTATGAAAAAGAAGTGATTGTTTCCTTATAAATGGTAATACAATTAAGTATGATCAAAACTTTTTGACAATATCATATTCAAGCTAGTAAAAAAAAACACAATCGTAATCCTTTCATACACAACAAGTATGCTTCATCTTACTTCTGGTGCAACAGATTTTAAATTCAAAAGATTTTGACTTAATGAAAATTGCCGATGGTGTGGATGAGGAAAACCCATCTTTACCAAGCATTTAAAATAAATGCTCACGGAAAATTTGAGAGATGAAATACAATTTACCTTTTGGTTTTGTATGTGGGCACAAAATTGTTTCCTATTTTAGTGTAAAGTTAAATGCAAACTTGACGTTGTTATGTGGGTTATATTTTTAACATAGTAATACATCCTCAATATATAATGATATTAAGGACACACTTTCTCCTTGCACACTTCTTTCAACATACGATCACAACACATCACATACAGGAAGCTTTGGTCGACACACATGCAGCATATGGCAGTTTAACAAGACTCGTCTCCACATGACCAGGAAAGTCTTACAAATAACATGATATGGTCAAAGACAGACTTTTTCCTATCATTTTGGCAACACACTTATTTTGTTTTGATAGTGTGGCTCCTTCCATTCACAAAAATCGCCACAAGAATAATTATCATACTACTTCAAAAAAGAAAAAGAAAAATGGAATTATTCAGTATTTAAATTACGGTAAAGTGTTGCATTTTGAATAGTAACATTTCAAAGAAATTTGAATGGGAAAACTTTTTTCATATTTAGACTATAATCAGATCCTAAGAATACTATGCCGCTTTCGTTTACCGCAAACGGTAAAACAGCTTGGACATGGGGTGTTATTCATGAAATAAGGTCGGACCTAGTAATCTGATGCTGCTCTCAGGCGAGCCTCGACAAAGCCTTGCAAGGCCTGCATATTCCAGAAGAAGTTACATTTAAAAGCAGACAAACCAGTTGTTCTGCATAAACAAACAGGCCCCTAGACAAATCCTAGACAATGTGGAGATATACTGACTAATGTGTCTGTCCTCATGTAATAGCACTTGTTTTATCTGCAGGCAAATCTGAATCATATACGTAAAATCATACAAACAATGGGAAGATTGTATACATGTACTGTCACGACAACAAAGAGACAGCATTTGCAGAGACTAAAGGAAAATGTTCAGAGGTAAAAGGTCACTGAATACTTTTTCTAAATATTTTCAGCACAGTTTTTCAACACACATGCATTTCTACACTTTTAATATGCGATACCTGTATTCAACATGCATATATAGATATATAGTGATTTCCAGACAAAAATCAAAACCAGGTAAATTCTGATATTAAATGAAACCTTAATAGTTATCTTGTTTAAAAATACATTTCCACATAACTCTTTACCCATCTTATAATTAATGGCCTGCTGTGTTTACAAACAGGATTTTCTTTATGAGAATATAATTATATATAGGGCATTCTATTAATAAGAATGTAAATTCTTTTAGTATATAGTAACACAGCAGCGACAGATTTCAACCAAAGGGTTCACACATATAGAGCTAACGGTTCAGATGAGTGAAATCTGTGTTTTATGTGATGATGTTTTTAATGACTTATGGTATATAGAGAACTTTAATCCTGGGGCACTGGTGTTTATATTAATATCTTTTCGCATATTTTTCGTATTTTCAAAAACAAATATCAAATAGAAACTTACATTTTTTTCTTTAATTATTAAATTTCAATGTTCTACCAGTAGTGATTGCAAAGAACATAGGGGTATCACATGTGAAGAACAGCTGGTCTTTGGCCACAGATTGAGCCGTTAAACAATTTGACTGTTTTATAACTATGCTTAGACATGTTGCTTGTTCTGTCCGCTTTTCCTGTCGCTCCCAGCTCTTGCAGTTGCTTTTGTCAGTTCAAAGTTTTGAGTGTAATTCATTACTTTGCCATACATTATATTTATAACAGCACACACTTCTTCTTCTTGGGTGGCTCTGGGGGCTCCAGTGCTGCTAGAATGGCCTCATCAAACACATTCTTTAGTCCTTTCTGTAATAGTCAAACATGAATGTTTGTTTTAAAACCAGAGATATTCTTGACCTCAGTGTATTATTTTATATCTATCTGCTCTTCGTTTTTACTATATTTCACATCAATTGAAAATATAATTTGAATAAAAGCTTACTCTGACATAACTTAAGCAACTATCTATATGATTAAATAAAACCCTCTCAAAGGTTGATCATGATGCGATACAAACCAAATGTGTACTTACCAACATATGGCAAGGATTACAACCTTTAACACCTCATTACATACTTGAAACTGAGATCAATTATGTTGTTGTCTAAATTAAAAGTTCCTAATAACTAGGCTAACATCAAGTCATCAAACCCCCAGTAGGATATCTTTACTACACACTTCTTTTAAGTTATTACTGAAGATTTTAATGTTGCCATCCTACATTTCTTTATTCAAATTAAATGGTGTTGCACAAACAATTTATGTCTAACATTCTAGTTTGAGAGTTGGGACATAATAAACCCCCTAGGTCCCAAACGTCCAAATTGACATAGATCTCTCTTAGTTGGTACTTCAGTTGATTCAAAGGTGACAAAAGTTTAATAAAATAATACTCATTATTAATATAAATATATCAATGTGACTGTCCGATACTTAGATTCGTAATTTCTGTCGAAAACTTGCACTCCTCAAGTCTGACATAAGTGTTGAACACGCAGAAGAATTTGACACATCTATCAGATTCTTTTCATATTGTCAGCTAAACTATTTCTCACCTGTGTTAAGGCAGAACACTCCACGTATTTCACAGCTTTTAGTTCTCGGGACAGTTTCTCTCCTTGTTCAATTGTAATAGGCTTCTGTTTATTCTTGGCTAATTTTTCTATAGTTGTGGCATCATCTCTTAAATCTAATTGTGTTCCAACCAATAAGAATGGAGTTTTCTGACAATGATGTGTTATTTCGGGAACCCACTGTGAATGAAAGAGATAAGTAATATATAACAGATTACGGACTTAATTTTCACTACAATGCATGAAAGGTTGTAATATCCTACATTTATTCATATTTTTGTTTGAGGAGAAAAACAACATTCTTTGCTTCCCCTCATGTCAATTTACAGCTAAGAGTTATCTTCATTTGTATAGTAAATAGTTACCATAACTTTTTCAGGCATACAAACTCAATTTACCAATAAATATATTATACATGTTCAATATCAACAAGTACTTATATTCCAATAGAGTACATATATATATATATATCAGTATAAAAGCAAACTTCATAAAGTTTAAACAGTGATACTTCACAGCTAAGGTAGAATCTTAAAATTTCAAAGATGTAAAAAAATGATGTTCTGTTATTTGAATATATACATATATTTCTTGCTCATATTCCATAACTTTATTTCCAAAGACCTGTGTGTCATATAAACCATTCACTAATCTGACCAATATATCTTTCAATTCATATTAATATTCAGAATCAAAACATATAATAAATGTGTATTATTTCTCAATATCAGGTATAATGTACAAGCATTTAAAATGTTTTGAAATTATCAAAACCATTATCCAGTCTAGGGCAATTTAACTGTGTATGCAGTTTCTAATCATAATACATTTTATTGTGTAGTCGGTGCTTTTCTTAATGAAAAAGATTGACATAACAATTGAAGTCTGTTCTTCTACTACGTTGAGTTGTCCACAAAATTAAATATAATATACTGTACGTGTCAAATACATGCACTATGACATATCATTACCTTTTCTTTCACATTTTCAAATGATGAAGGAGAAACTACAGAAAAGCACACTAGAAACACATCTGTTTGTGGGTAACTCAGGGGTCTTAGTCTGTCGTAATCCTCTTGTCCAGCTGTATCAAAGAGACCCAGGGTGTAGGGTTCCCCACCAATCATTACTGTCACTGCATAGTTATCAAAAACCTGTAAAGGGGAAAACACATTGAAAGGAAGAGAAAACAAGATTTGAAAAGAATTCCATTAGAAATTCTTTGATTCTATGCAGTGCTCCAAATTCACACCCCACAAAAACTACATTGAAAGGTCAAATACTCTTGATTTAACAGGGAACATGCTAACATAGATAACAGGTTTCTTATCACAGTGCATCTAAAGAGAAGTACTCGATTCAGCATCCTCGATATCCAGGGGTTCCGTTCACTTTCGCTCTCTACACCCCTGGAATATATATATATATATATATGTCATAGAAAAATTGAAAACACAAAGATAGCTGTTTGATTGGTCTCGGGTAAAAAAACACCTGACCAATTGCTAGGCCCATACCTGTCCTTTGACGATTACAAAGAAGAGACGCCTGACTTCAAAGCCTGTCAATTTTTACTGTTACGTGACCACGAGATTCTTTTTGATGTACATCAAAGGATGAAACTAGTCTTCTTGTCTCATCAACAGGGTGGCGCACATTGAGCCTTCAATTTTGCTATGACATATTCCAGGGGTGCAGAGAGCGAAAGTGAGCGTAACTCCTGCATATCGAGGATCCTGCATATCGATATCAGATGAATGAAAACAACATAATTCCAGTAGCTCACGGAACCTGTTTGGTCGCTATGGTCCTTCTCCTTGCATTGTTTATTCAACATCTTGCCCAAACACCTCAAAGAATGCACGTTCAGATTCTTTAGATGACAGTCTTACATACCAGTGGCAGATCCAGAGACCTATATCTGGGTTTTTGTCTCTCAAAAATATCCAGGGGGGTTTCCAAGTGGGGAAAATTGTGAAAATACATGATTTTTAAAGAAAATTCTCATGGTGGGGGGTTTCCTGAAGCCCAAAACCCACTCTGGATCCACAACTGGATACAATACACAATGCAACATACAAGACACATCTCATTTTTAACTTTCAAGACAGATTCAAGAGGAAGGAGGGAACATAATCATGATAAGCTGATAGTGATGTGAATCTGATATGCACAGTGATATACATCATAACATCAATCACACTAAATCCTACAATCAACTCTGCAGCAAGTACACTCGAAACTTACACGTGTACAGTACATTTAGTGAAGGGCTGATGATCAACAATAATCAATAATTTATTGGTTTGCCCTTTTCGATTTTGATCACAAATTGATATATGACGTAATTGCGTTATTACTGAACTCAAGTGTCAAATAATAAATGTACACAATGTATGCATTGAAAGTAAATATTAAGTTTTTATTATATGATTGATGGTAATGTGGAAATAGTGTTGTCATATTTGGTATTCAGTCTCATAAAATTAGAGGCTGATTATGTAATTATTCATTGATTGGTTTACTACTTCAGATTACAAATACTTTTTTCATTACTATTTCTGCTGCTATTGAGTATTGATAAGAAATGCGAGTTAGGTTTAGTTAGAGGAGGAGGGGGGGGTCTCAGCTTTTATGCTATGGTTTTCTGATGGTTAATTTAATAGAAAAATCAGTATACTTACAGTTGGAACATATTCGGAGGGGAACTTGTTTGTTGTGTAGGAGATGAGCAGACATGTTTTACCCACTGCTCCATCACCAACAACCACACACTTGATTGTCTGCATGATGACTTGTCCGGGGCCCTTGATATCAGGTCTGAAAGACAAATAATGTAATCAACTTCAGATTTTGTTTACTTCATTACAATAACATGGAATACATTACATTCAATGTAAAGCTTAGGTTTCATACAGTTTAGGCTAAATTTAGACCACAGCAGTTAATTCGGTAGTCTTCCTTGTTAGGCCTACTGTAATGTCTGGAGAGCTAACTCACTCTAGTAAATAATTCATCTGAACATTCACAGAGACTTACATTTCGTGGATCCTTTTTTGCCTAATGTAAAACTAAAAACTAACAACAAATTTATGAAGCCGACTTATCAATTGAAGTTGAGGGGCCTATTGTACACATTTACCCTCAAAATGAATGGGTGAGGCCTTCACCAAATAAATTAAGTTCGATATTATCATGTTACTGTCCACTTTATCTTCCAAAGAAATGGTCAATTAGATTATTTTTATATAACTTTAAAAACATCCACAGCAATTAAAACAATATAGCCTGCATATGTGCACAGGAACCATCACAATAACATGATTCTGAACGTAATGTCAGTAGACGGACGGTATTTTCATGTCCGCCATTTTCTCGATGTCAGTTGATAAGGGGCTTGGCTCATGTTTGTTTGAGAACAGTGCCGCATTTACATCACTTATAAGCCGTTCATTATTACAAACGTCTTCAATGGTTTCCAAAATAATCATATAAAGTGAAATGCAACCTAAATATGACACATTTTCGCCTATTTGTACCTTTCTGGTTCTCGATTTCCGGGGTGTTTTATCAAGTAGGCTCGAACCTCCAACGGATATTGTTGACTGCGCATGCACGAACTGATGTAATAAGTTATTTTTAGTAGTCGTATATAAATCGCTCCGGAAGCAACACTACACTCATTCCTTAGTCAGAATGAGAGGAGAGTGTACGAGCGGGGCCATTTTATAGTAATCTCTGGTTTTCTATTTTTGGATACACTTGGTCCGTTTATTTTAAGGGGCATTCGATCTATAATCTGAAATGATATATTTTTATTCTATAAATAAAACTAACGTTACGTTATTTGTTAGTGATTTTATAACTTAGGCTCTACTGTACATTCTCGCAGTAAAATAGGCCCGTTAACAGTTGTTTATATACAAACTAAAGGATTTAGTTTTGTCTTTCTCTTATCTATATTTATATGTGTTACTGCATGTAGACCTAAACGTGAGTTTCGCCCAGATGACATCGTTGCAGAGACGTATACTACATATTATTATGTATTATACGTCTCTGATCTTTGTAAGCTAGCTAGTAGCTTGTGGTGATATATAGAATATTTTTCTTCTTCTGTATTGATTTGGGCGAGCGGATAAAAATGTTATATCCTATTATTTTTTTCCATATTCCGTGATACCAGTTACAATATTACCTAACATAGTCTACATGTTTATTGTGATCACCTCAGGTGTTTTTTTAAGTCCGTAATCTAATTCCGTGTCCGTACAGATCAAGTTAAAATAAAGCTTTATCTTAAAGACAATGTTTTTATATCAGTCCTTAAGGTTACATGTACTTATACCACATGTACATGAGCTCTGAAAAAAAGAATTTATATTACGTTAAACCTTTTGTGCAATTCCCCCCAGATTGCACGTGGTATCCTTTAAACCGCAGCTCAGGATAGGTTTGACACTAGTCAACAGATTCGCACTTGTTACATAAGAATTATAACTTCAAGAAATGTTGGATAACTACGTGATTTGAATCAGATATTCTTTCTTTCCCTGTAAGCTTTCTGTAGGTAATAAGGTTCAGAACTACAGAAAAGTATTGATCCAGATGGTGTACGGAGCAGGTTGCCATCCTATCCCGATATGAATTTTGAAATTTATTAACTTTATCGTAGTGAGATCTGATAGGTTTTAAAATATGCTAGTTGTATTGTTCTAACTACAATGCGTCAAATGTGTCTATACTGACAAAAGCTCGAAATCTGAAGTGTTGTATCCTGTATAATATTTGCATTGTCTAAGTGTCAATATGTCTAATTTTAGTCCGAATTATTCTTACATTTTATCGACTTTTTTCATATTGGTCTGTCGTCGGTTAATCGACGACAGACCGATATGAAAAAAGTTGATAAAACGTCAGAATAATTCGGACTAGTCTAACTTGTACATGTGTGAATGTCTTTATATGTAACATGTATGTCAGTCAAAAGCTCTATAGAGCTTAAGAGATTTGTTTTTAAAATGCCCACCGACTTAAAATAATTCTGATCTGATCTGATCTTACCTTACCATTGCTGGTAAATCTGAACAGACATACTTAAAATTGAGACCGATTGAGGGGCTTATTAATCGTTCATGTAGTATGGGAATACTTTTCTAAAATCTAAAATTAATTGTTCTTTTATGTATTTATTGTATGTCATTTTATTTTGTCCAAAATGAAAAACGAAAAATAACACCACATTCCTCAACTCTCTCCTTTCCAGAACATGGCGAAGGTGAAGCCAAATAAAGCTCGACACAATCCAAAATATTCAACAGAAAAGTTGCTCTGCTTTTCGCTTGTGCTGATCTAAACTTTGGAATTTAGGTCACTATTGATTGAATAAAAACATACGAGAACTTGCATAACGGATACAGAACAGCCTAACGTTTTTTCTTTCTTTTAAGTTCTGTTCATGTACAATGTATATTGTTTTCATTAATGTTTTTTTTAGATAATTTTCAATACAACGATTGAATTATTTGGGTTTGGTTCTTGTTTTATACGTTTTAACCTCTTTTCGTCAAAGCTGCGTAATGGTCTTAGCCGACGGCAACTTATTTTTGTACGTACAACAAGATGTTATTTCATCTCGTAACGTATTTGACTATAGGTTTGCACTCCGTCCGTCCGTCTTTCCGTCCAACAAATTTTATTCATGATGTTGTATGAATTGGATCGAACAACAGGCTATGCCTATATCAGTTCTCTCCTACATGCATTTGTATAAATCAGCATATAAATATATTATAATTTATCAGTGAAATGAAAAATTGAAAAGAGATACAACTTATACACAAAACAGATATTTATCAATGTGCAAGTCATATGGTATAGGGGAGATAACTCTAACTGCTTATGAAAGGTAACAAGTCAAGCTGTGCTACTTCTTGACCTCACCAGAGTATTAAGTGGGTTTTTGACATATTCCTTGACTAGAGTTTAAAATCCACACAGAGTGACTCATAGATACATGTAGTTGAATATTAGGCTTATATAATTAAAAATCGTGAATAATCTATGTCAATATTGTATGGTATATTAATATTCACATTATAATACGTATACATTGAGGATATAATTATTCAACTACTTGTTATTGATTACAAAATACAAGTACATGTTGATTTAATGGGTGAGTATATCATATTCACACTGTGTTTATAGAAAGCGTTTAATGATATTTATAACCATATGCATGTTTGCTGTTCATGTTTACAATATTAGATTATTGATAGTACATTATAATATAAGTTAATATAGATCATTCTAGTTATATAAATATTTTTGAGTTCAAGATAATGGTTGAGACACTCTCTAGGATATTTTTATTGGTTTCATTGTCACAATGGTAACAACCATTTAGTAAAGTATGTAAAGTATAATGCGAATGATTATCATTGAGTAGAGTAGCAGAGAGAACTTGTCTGTGATTGTTGTATCTGGCACAGTCAAAGAAGTAATGATAACATGTCTGTGATTGTTGTATCTGGCACAGTCGAAGAAGTAATGATAACCTGTCTGTGATTGTTGAATCTGGCACAGTCAAAGAAGTAATGACAACTTGTCTGTGATTGTTGTATCTGGCACAGTCGAAGAAGTAATGATAACCTGTCTGTGATTGTTGTATCTGGCACAGTCGAAGAAGTAATGATAACCTGTCTGTGATTGTTGAATCTGGCACAGTCAAAGAAGTAATGACAACTTGTCTGTGATTGTTGTATCTGACACAGTCAAAGAAGTGATGATAACTTGTCTGTGATTGTTGTGTCTGGCACAGTCGAAGAAGTAATGATAACTTGTCTGTGCTTGTTGTATCTGGCACAGTCAAAGAAGTAATCATAACTTGTCTGTGATTGTTGTATCTTGCACAGTCAAAGAAGTAATGATAACTCGTCTGTGATTGTTGTATCTGGCACAGTTAAAGAAGTAATGATAACTTGTCTGTGCTTGTTGTATCTGGCACAGTCAAAGAAGTGATGATAACTTGTCTGTGATTGTTGTATCTGGCACAGTCAAAGAAGTAATGATAACTTGTCGTCTGTGATTGTTGTATCTAGCACAGTCAAAGAAGTAATGATAACTTGTCTGTGATTGTTGTATCTGGCACAGTCAAAGAAGTAATGATAACTTGTCTCCTGTATATAACCACACACACATGAAGCAGATTCTAATAGATGATCATTAAAGAGATCAAAGTTTAAGTTGCTAGCATTATTTCTAAATTGTCATAGTATAATATTGATTTTTCTATCACCAGAATTTTTTACCACTGTCTGAGTATCATTATTAGGTATACTATTAATTATGTTAATTAGTTTCTTAAAGTGGGGAAGAGATTGAGCATTTAAAATATCTGGGTCTAACTGATTGTAAAGTCGAAAGGTTGAGGGAAAGAAACTATTAAAGTAGCTATCAGTTCTGCATACAGGGGGGTTAAAAACTCTATTTAGTCTAAGCTGGTATCTCACATTTGTTAAATCATTTAAAAAAGGATCAACTATACCATTAAGGTACTTTGGTGATATATTGTGCAATATTTTATACATTACAATTAATTTTTTTTTTACCCTCCCTCTGCTAAGGTTTCCCATCCCAATTCTTTGTACAATTTATGGTGTGATGTACCTCTACGAAGCCCTGTCACTACTCTAGCAGCATCTAGTTGGACTGATTCTAAAAATAATTTTGATTGTCCAGTGCAATTATCCCAAACTACATTAGCATATTCTAAAATTGGTCTAATATAGGATATATACATAGTGTTAAGTGTACTTCTATCAAGTGAGGTTTTAAGACTTCTTAATATATTAATTCTTTAATATGCTGTATCATAAATATTTTGGATACGTTGGCCCCATTTACCATCTTCATTAAAAGTAAGACCTAAATGTTTATGGTTAGTACTGTCGGTTAGTGGTTGATTAGAGAAGAAGATTGGAGAGTGATAAGTTTCTTTTTTCCGTGTGAAGATCATAGTTTTAGTTTTGGATGCATTACATTTTATATCCAAAGATTTAGCCCAAGAACATATATTCTGCAAGTCATTAGTGAGATTTTGTGCTGCTTGAATGGGATTATCATCAACAATAATAAAGAGGGAGGTATCATCTGCAAAAAGTTTAATGTTACTAGTAACTATATAAGTGATGTCATTTATATAGAGAAATGGACCAAGGACAAGCCCTGAGGCACTCCTGCACTAATACATTTAAAAGATGACTGATGTCCTTCTGTATTAACCCTTTGTTTTCCGTCCTTCCTTCCGTCCTTCATTCCAAGAAGTTTTCCCGGGACATATCTTCTATACTATTTCACATGGAGTAACCATATTTGGTGAACAATGACATCTTAAGATGGCGGAGTGCAGAGTGCAAGAATTAGGTCACTGTGACTTTTGACTTCACCTTTGACCTTCATTTTTGAAAAATATTGTCCAGGGCATATCTTCTGTACTATTTCATCTGGAGTAACCAGATTTAGTGTACAAGGACATCTTTGGATGACGGAGTGCAAGCATTAGGTCACTATATCCTCACTGTAGCCCATGCTTCCTGGCATGAGTGTACTGTTTGTTAAAATAAAGAAATAATTACCGGTGGGGGACTATGGATTGCCTTGCAATACGCTGCCTTGT